ATAAACTTCAACATATTAAAGGCTCTGATAAGTCCTGCCATATGACTGACTTTGTTCTTTACAGAGTTCTTTTAAAAATATTTTGTTTTAGGCCAGGCGTGGTGGTCCCACACCTTTCATCCCAGCACTCTGGAGGCAGAGGCAGGTGGATCTCTGTGAGTTCAAGGCCAGCCTGGTCTACATAGTGAGTTCCAGGACAGCTGGGGCTACAGGGAGACCCTGTCTCAAAAAGACTAAAAAAATTTTTTTGTTTTAATATTTATTTATTTATTTATTATTTATTTATTCATATATATGAGTATATTGCCTGCACGTGTGTAAGTGTACCTGTGTCATACAAAGCCTGCAGAGGTCAAAAGAGGGTGTCAGAGTCCTCTGGAACTGGAGTAATGGATGGTTGTTAACTGCCACGTGAGTCCTGGGAATTGAACCCGGGCCCTCTGTAAGAGCAGCCAGTGCTCTTAACAACTGAACTATCTCTCTAGCCCCTAGAGTTCTTTTATATTTTTAATTTAATTTTTTTATGTGTATGAGCATATTGCCTGTATGTGTATGTGTACCTATGTCATGCAATGCCCATGGAGCTCAGAAGAGGGTATCATATTCCCTGGAACTTGAGTTACAGATGGTTGTTAGCCTCCATGTGGGTGCTGAGGACTGAATCTGGGCCCTCTGCTAGAGCGGTCAGCACTCTTAACTGCTGAGCCATCTCTTCAGCCCCTTATGACGTATTTTATATCAGAATACTTTTACACGCTTCTTTCTGTAGAACACAGGCTTGGTAAATTAGGTTTACATATTTCCTTTCCTGAACGAAGAGAATATGACTTCGTAGTCCTCTTTCTCTCTCTCTGTGGCTACATTATATTATCAGTTTCTCCATTATTTTTTTATTTTAGTTACTTTTAAACAAAGTTTCCACGCTCTTCCTCCTCTTCTCCCCCTTCTCCCCCCGACTTCCTGTACCTTATTCTTCCCCCTCCTTGCCCTCTTCTTTGCGTTTCTTGTCTTGCTTTTCTTCACCTTTTTCTGAAGTCATTGGATTCCTACTCTAGTCGATGAGAAAATGCTACAGACATAAAGCATCTGAATATAATCAAGAAGCTAATAAATACATTTTCCTCGGATAAAGATGGGTAAATGCAGGTTAAATGAATCATGTTGACAGACCATGGAGCATGGGTATGAATGGCTGTCCTTAGCCACATTTCATTCAGTAATTTTGGCAGTGGTTGGATGAATGTATTAATAGTAAGCTGATTAAATTTGTGAATGATGTGAAAATGGAAAGGTTATACAAAGACACTAGATTCTAGGACCAAGAGCTTTCAAAATCATGGACAAGCCTGAATTTAGCAAGACATCATTTAACAAGGATAAATTTAGAGTTATGCTCTTAAATCTAGAAGATCAACTCTGTAACTATAGTATCATATGATATGACTGAGCAAAACCAAATATAAAAAACTACTCGGGTTTCTAATTTGATTGTATGTTCAATATGTAATCTTGTGGTTTCCATTTGAAAATGGCAAAATAAAGCATGTTAGCCCTCAAATATCTACCCAAAGCTTTAAAAAGGGGACAGAATAAGAAAAACTTCTTTATTCAATGAAACCAGAAAAAGAACACAGCTAAGCTACAATGCAACAAGTACACATGGCAAATATTATGACTTCTAGGCTGAGAACAAAAGTATGGATCTATATGGCAGGCAAGGATCCGGGGCCATAGCTTTATGGGTATGAACGGTGACACTTATGGGGGCAAAGATCATTCAAAAGAAAGGTTAAAATACCCTAGATTGATCTCATATCATATTACTGAAAGGTTGTATTGTGGGTTTCAGGGGAAACCATGATGACATGCTCTTTCTTTTTTAAAAACATTATATATATAATTGGTTTTAAGTCAGCATGCAAAATAGTGTGGTACATGACATTTTTATACAGGTGTATCATTATTCATTGCTCATATTCAAGTCCCTATCACCCTCCTTTGAGCCCCCCGATCTTCTCACTGGTCCTCTCCCTAAACAGACATTATTCTGTTTATATATTGTTAAATCTAGATTCTGCATGCGAAAGAAACATGGGATTTTTTTTACTTCAATTACTGCCTCTTGTTCTCCCTCTGTCCCTTTAGCTACCAATTCCTTCTCCACATAATTCTGCTTCTGTACAACACACACGCACATGCACACACATGCATGTACACATGTGCATGTACACACATGTGCACACACAGACTTATATGCTCATACATAGATGCACACATTCTGCATATAAAGTGTGATATATGTCTTTCTGAGTCTGGCGTGTTAACCTACAGATGTATCCTTTTTCCTGCAAATGGCATGATTTGATTCTTTGTTATGGCTAAATAAAACTCTACTGTGAATTTACATCATGTTTTCTTTATCTTTTCATCTGTTGATAGACATGTAAGCTGCTTCTATATCTTGGCTATTGTGAATAATGCTGTAGATAAACATAGATATGCAGATAGCTCTGTGGCATGCTGACTGTATTCCTTCAGGTATATCCCCAGGAGTGGTATACATGGATCATGTGGCAGTTCTCTTTGTGGTGTCTTGAAGAACTGTCATACTGATTTCCATAGTGGCTGCACTAGTTTACATTCTTACTGGAACTGTATAAATGTTCTTCTTTCTCTGTATCCTTGTCCATATTTGTTGTCATTTGTGTTCTTGATGACAGCCACTCTGACTTGAATGAAATAAAATCTCAGTGCAGTTATGATTTGTATTTCCCTGCTGACCGAAGCTCTTGAACATTTTTCACATATGTATTGGCCATTCACATATCCTCTTTTGAGAACTGTATGTTCAATTTATTTTCACATTTAGTTATTGCCTAATTTGTTTTTGTTTTTACTGTCAAAATTTTGAGTTTGTAAAAATATATATATTTGTCTGTTTATTTTTTATCCTGCTACATTGATGACAGTGTCTAGCATATTCAAGAATTTTCTGATAAAATAAAGACTTTTGAATAATCTTTTAAATATAAGGTTGTACTACTGACAGAGATAATTTTACTTCTTCCTTTCATACTTATTTTATTTCTTTCTCTTGCTTTATTTCTCTAGATGAAATTTCAAGCATTATGTTGAGTAAGAGTAAAGAGAGTGTTTTTTTCATTTGAGAACCCTCTATTTAGTTCCTTGCCCCTGTTTTCAATTGGATTGGTTGTTATTTTTTTATTTTTTTGAGTTCTTTGTATATTCTAGTTACTAACCCTCTATCAGATACATAGGTGAAAAGATTTTTTTTCCCATTCTGTAAGTTGCTTCTTCACTCAAATGGTGGTATCCTTTGAAGTACAGAAGTTTTTTAGCTTCATGTGGTCCCAAATGGCAATGGTTGGTCTTAATACCTGTGCTATCAGGATCCTGTCAGAAAGTCTTTCCCATGCCTATAAGCTCCTTACTCTCTCCTCTGTCAGATTGAAGGTGTCAAGTCTTATGTTGAGGTCTTTGATCCATGTTGATGGATACAGAGAGGAGAGTCCGTTTTCCTTGCGGGTGTGACAGCTAATAGGTTTCAGATTCCAAGGGATGGACTCACACCTAGGAGAACTTGGAAAGCACGGCTTAGATTTGACAGACCCTTGAAAAAAGAAGGGGACAAATAATAATGGAGGACATGAAGTTGAAAGGGACTAGTGGGGAGGGCTGGAGAGGGGGAGGAGACTGAATGTGATCAAAATACATTGTGTGAAATTCTGAAATCAATAAAAAAATTAAAAAGGAGAGTGGACTGCTTTGTTTTGTTCATATTTATAAAGAAAACGTTTTAAGTTTCTCCTCATTCAGTACAATAGTAGCCAAGCATCTGTTGTACATAGTCTCTATTAGATTGAGGTATGGTCCTCTGTTTCTTGTTCCCTCAGGGCTTTTGTTATGAAGGGATGTTGAAATCTGCCAAAGTCTTCTCTGTATTTATTGAGATGATTATGGAGATGATTGTGTGATTTCTGTCCTTATCTACTTATGTGCTGTATTACATTTATTGACTTGTATATCTTGAACCATCCTTGTATCCATGGAATGAAACCAACTTGACCATGGCATATGATCTTTATAATGTATTGAATTGAATTTGAAGTATTTTATTGAGGATTTTCATGCCTATGTTCATGTTGGACACTGATCTATTTTCATTCCTTATAGTCTTGTCTGGCTTTGGTAATAGGTAATATAGGCTTCATAGAATGAGTTTGGTAGTGTTTCTTCCTCTTCTACTTTGTGGAATATTTTGAGGAGCACTGGCATTATTTCTTTAATGTTCTGGTAGAATTTGGTAGTTAATCTGTCTGGTCCTGGACTTTACTTTGTTGGGAGATGTTTAAATATTTATTTATTTATTTATTTATTTATTTATTTATTTATAGCTATTTATTATTTTAGTGTGTATATGGGTGCATTTCTGCCACATCACAGGCATAGAGGCCAGAGGACAACTTTGTGGAGTTGTTTCTCTCCTTCCACCATGAACTGGGTTCCAAGGACTGAACTCAGGTCCCCAAGCTTGTGCTGAAAGTGCCTTCATCCGCCGAGCCATCTTGCTGGCCTGGAAGACATTTTATTATTGCTTTAATTTCATTGCTTGCTATGGATCTGTTTAAGCTGTTTATATCCTCTTAATATAATTTTGGTAGGTCATATGTACTTGGGAATAAATGTATTTCTTTTCAGATGTTCCAGCTTTTTGGTTTCTTAAAGTATTTGTTAATTATCCTCTGGATTTAATTAATATGTATTGTAATACCTCCTGTTTCGTCTCTAATTTTATTAATTTTCATCTTTCCTATCTCTCATCTGGTTAATTTGGTTAAGAGTTTGTTGAGCTGTTGATCTTTTAAAGGAATCAACTCTTTGATTCTTCATATTGTTCTTACTCTCTTTCATTCATTTCTGTCCTGATCCTTACTAGTGTTTCTTATATACTGATTTGGTTTAACTTGTTCTTATTTTTTCAGACATCATGGTGTACAGCTGTTCATTTTGGAGATATATCTGGATTTGTTGCTGTAAGCATTCAAAGACATAAAATTTCTCCTTACATCTGTGTCTGCCTTTGCCCAAGTTGCGGTCTCATTTTCATTCATTCTAGAGGTTTTAAGATCTCTTCTCTGGGGAAGTGGGTGAGAAATCCCAACCCAACCTTAAGGGTAGTTAGCAAATTGCTGGGGAGAGAGAGAGAGAGAGAGAGAGAGAGAGAGAGAGAGAGAGAGAGATTAATGTCTATGTTCATGCTGGACATTGGTCTATTTTCATTCCTTGTTTTCTTATCTGGCTTTGGCTTCATAGAATGAGTTTGGTAGTACTCGCATAAAATTGGGAGGGGGCATAGGGGAAGTGTAGATTTGGGGGGATCTAAATACCATGAAACTATAGTGTATGGAAATTTCAAAAATTCAGTCAAAAATGAAAAAAAATCTCTGATTTCTTCAGTGACTCAATGATCATTCAAGAGGATATTTTCAATATCTGTGTGTTCGCATAGTTTCTTCAGTTTATCTGCTGTTCATTTCTAGTTTTATTCCACTATGATTTGATAAGATATAAGAAATAATTTTTGAAAACTTGCTTTACTGCTAAAATGTAATGTCTTTTAGCAGAAGTTCCATGGCTGTTGAGAACAGTATGTATTCTGAAGCTGCTAGATAGAATATTCTATAGATGCCTGGTATGTCCAGTTTATCTATGGTGCAGTTTTCCTCTGGATTTTCCTTGTTGAAATTAAAAAATGTTAGTTATCATTTTTATTTTATATGCACGAGTGTATTACCTGTATGTATTAAAGTGTACCCATGTTGTGCGATACCCACAGAGGTCAGAAGAAGGTATTGAACCCAGCTCCTCTCAAAGAACAGCCAATTTTCTTAACCACTGAACCATCTCTCCAGTCTCCTTGTTGGTTTTTCTTGTTCTGAATAATGTACCCATCAATGAAGGTGGGGCATTAAAAGTACCCATTATAAATGTATCTGGACCTCCTTTGTGTTTAATAGTGTTTAGTTTATGAAATTGAGTGGTCTGATATTTGGGCATATATACTTATGACTATTATATCTTCTTGTATATGTAGTGGCTACTTCATCTGCTATAATGAATCTTGACCGGAAGTCTACTTTATGGTTATAAGCATAGTTACTCCTGCTTGTTTTTGGCTCCCATTTGCTCAGTATACTGACTTCCATCCTTTCAGTATGTGGGTGTCATTGCTCATAAGGAGTGTTTCTTTTTAAAATTACATTTATTATTATTACTACTACTATTATTATTATTTGTGTGTGTGTGTGTGTGTGCGTGTGTGTCTGTGTGTGTGTGTGTGTGTGTGTTTGTAGGTCAGAGGACAACTTGTGGGAATTGGCTCTCTTTCTACTTTGTAGGTCCTAGGGATCAAACTCAGGTTATCAGGCTTGGCAGTTAAGTGTCTTTACATTCTGAGCCATCTTGATGGCCGATATGTGTTTCTTATAGACAACACATAGTTCGATTTTCATTTTTGTCTAATTACTAGTCTGTGTGTTTTGATAAGAGAGTTAAGAGTTACATTAGGGTTATTATTATGGGGTGTTTGCTGATTTCTGTAATTTTGTTAGTTGTCTTCCTGATCTATTATTTTGCTTGTTCCTTTCTCCGCTGTTCATACCAAAGCCTTGTTAACTGAGTGATTTTGACATGGTTACCAGTCCTTGTTTGTTTATCTGTTCCTCTCATGAAACTTATTCTTTTATGTGTTTTTATGATCAAGACTATTTCTCCTCAGTGTTAGGATTCCTTCCAATAGCTTGTAGCTTTTGCAATGGTGGACAGGTGGTTCTGATGTGCTTGTCTTTAAATATCTTTATGTCTCTGTCAGATTTAAAATATAAGTTTGGTGGGTATGATTATCTTGGTTGGAAGTTATTTACTTTAGGGTTTAAAACATGTCATCTGGGGGACTGGACAGCTAGCTCAGTGGTTAAGAACACTGACTGCTTTTGCAAAGGACCTGGTTCAGTTCCCAGCAACCACATAGGGGCTAACAACTGTCCTTAACTCCAGTTCCAAGGGATACGACACCCTCTTCTGGCCTCCACAGGCATTGCACTCATGGGTGCACTTACAAACATGCTGGCAAAACACTCATACACATAAATAAAAGTAATAAATGAAACACTAAAAATGTCATCCCATGCTTTCTTGGCTTTTAGGTTTTCCATTGAGAAGTCTAATGTTATTATGATGCATTTATCTTTGTGAGTTGGCATTTTCCCTTACAACTTTTAATATTTTGTTTTGTTTTGTTTTGTAGTTTTAACATCTTAACTATAATATGTTGTGAAGAGATTTGTCTCCGGTCATGTCCATTTGGGGTTCTAAATGCCACTTGTGAGTGAATCCATTTCCTTCTCTATATTTGGGGATTTCCTGCTATGAGTTATTTGAATAAAGTTTCTTTGGCTTTAATTTTCATCTCAGCTTCTTCCACCTCATGAATTCTTTGGTTTGGTCTCTTAATCACTCATGTCCAAGGTATCTAGGGCATTGGGGTTCTCATTATTTATTGTCTTTATTAATATCTAAAAGTTATATTTCCTTGATTTGTGCATATGCTAGTTGGGATAACTTCTATTTTTATTCAAGGATATTCTTAGTGAGGAAGCTACTCTTGAGGGATCAATCCCAAGTACCAGTCAGAGAGGAAAAAAATGGCTATAACAGCAACAACCCCAAACCAAATAAAATATGGCAATCTGTTCAACACTGATTAAAGCCAGTAACACACTACTGTTATAGTTAACTTTGGCTGTTAACTAGACACAAACCTAGAGTTACCTGGGAAGATGGAACCTCAACTGAAGAATTTCCTTGTTTGGATCAGCCTGTGGTCATGTTTTTGAGCCATTTTCTTAAATGTTAATTGATTTAGGAGGGCCTAGCCCACTGTGGGCAGTGCAATCCCTAGGCAGGTGGGCCTGAGCTATATAAGAAAGCTGAGCAAAGCAGAGGAACCAGCAAGCAGTGTTCCTCTGTTCATTTCTCTTTCCGGCTTTTTTCTTGAGTTCCTGCCTTGGCTTCCCTTGACACAAGATTGTAACCTGTAGGCTAAAATAAACCCTTTCCTTCCCAAGTAGCTATTGGTCATGTTGTCTATCACAGTGATCACAGTGATAGAAAAAAAATAGGACAATTACTAATAACCATAGAACAAACTGTTTCAAACATAATGTAGATTGTCACATGAAGGCAAAAAAATTATTTAGGGTGCAAGTAAAACTAGTAAATGAATAAATAAGGGAGGAAATAAAATAAAGAGGGAAGGAACAGGAGGGACAGAAAGGAGAAGCCAGACGAAATGGAAAGGAGAAGCCAGACGAAATGGAAAGCAGGAAGAATGTTATAAACAAGAGAGAAAAATTCAAGAAATAAAAGTCTGATTATATCACACAGAAAAAGGCACAAACACAATTAGATTAAATTTTCAGATAATTAAATATAAGCCAAATCTAAAACTCTTCTTGGAAGTTAAAAAATAATTTTGCCACTTTTTGGTATGATAAATATGAAAAATAAGAGATTTAAAAAGAATACAAAGGAAAATCCAGCTTATAGTTTTAGTTTTTAGTCAAAACTGCAAGGCACTGGTGCTAAGAGAGGCAAGTAGAACTCCTGCACACGAAAGAAATATCCAGAAAATCTTACTTTCATCTTTTTGAAGACTGCTTAGTCACCGTTCAAGTGTCAGTGTAGAGCTCACCTCCTCTGGGAAGCCTTCCATCACTTCCTGTATTTTCATTGCACCTTAAATATACATTTAGACTTGCTTTAGTCATCTGTCTAAGCTGTAAGAGTACTGAGGGAGGGGGCCATTCCCTTTAATTTATTACAGATGCTTTTATACACACATATACAAATGTGTGTGTGTGGGGGGGTGGTATTTGCATGCATGTACAGAGGCCAGAGGAGGATGCTGGTGTCCTACTTACCATGCTATGCCTTATTCGTTTGAGATACCCATCCTTCTCCCTCCTTCACCCCTGCCCCTATGCTGGGGTTACTAGTGCATGACAATGCCTGTTTTTTTTTTAAGTGGGTGCTGGGAATGAAAACGCATGTCCTCATGCTTATATAGCAAGCACTTTTACCCACTGAACCATCTCTCCAGCTCTACAGGTGCCTATATTAATTCAATGACCAGCACATAGTAGACACCCAGTATTAATGAAATAAGTGAGAGAAGAAAGAATAGATGGACGCAAACAATCTGGAATCATGTAGACATGCCTGGATGAGTAAGCATGAGATAACCTGGCACTCCAATGCTGCATGAATTTTATAGCATGTGACATAGAAGAGGTGATAAACATTACCAGTGAAATCTACCTGATGACTTTATATCCATACTCAGGTACTAAGGATCTGAATGTAACCGATTGTGACTAGTAATCATCAAATACATAGAGATTAAAGACACATGTGCAAACATCTAAGTGTTAGGAGTGTTATATCTTACAGGGTTGATACTGAGTTCAATATTGTATAACTGTATTCATTCAACTGTGAACCTAAAAATTTACAGCCACTTTTGAAAGAGATGTATCCTTGCTCTGGAATGTGTTACTGAATATGTTAAAGCTGTAATGAAATGCTTCTTCTAATCATGTGGTTATTAAATTAAAAAAATTTAAAAAATTAAAAAAAATAAAAATATTTTTATTATTTTTATTTTATGTGTATGAATATATTGCCTGCTTGTGTGTTAAGCGCAGCCGTGTTATGTAATGCCTGTGGAGGTCAGAAGATGGTGTTGGATTCCCCTGGAACTGGAATTATGGACTGTTGTTAGCCACCATGTAGGTGCTGGGAATAGATCCCTCTGCAGGAGCAGCCAGTGTTCTTAACCAGTGAGCCATCTCTCCAGCCTCTCTAATAATTATTAAGACTGTCAGATTGCCCACTGGAAACTCCACATTCCTTCCCCCAAGTCTGTGGTCATTCCTAACTTGCAGACTTTTTCCAGAATCTTTGTGGCAGGGATTCTGGCTGGAATTTACCAAGGAGAGGTGTGAGATTGGAAGGAGGAAGTGCTGCACAGGCAGGAGGAAGTGAGACACAGGCTGCATGGCTCATATCTTAAAGGCACATAGATATCAGGATTTTGCAAATGATGCATGTGGCATTTTGACATGGCTTCCTGATATCCTCTTGTAAATTACCCACTTTTGTGTTGTGGGCTGCAGGTGTTTTGTTATCAGTTTTTTTGCATCATTTACTTCCTGATTTTTCACATGTTCATGGTTTAGTAAGCCTGAATTAAGCCTCTTCCTGCTTGATGTACCCAGAGTTTTTTTTTTTTTTTTTAGCCAACTAAATTGTGATTGATGTGTTATAGAATTCCTTGGTCACAGGGATAATTGAAGCCTTTAGTTTTTGTGTAGATTTTAATTGATATTTGACATATTTTAGCTACTCAGTAGCCTGTTTCCAGCATTTTGATTCCTTCTGGAGAATAAAGGTTCTTTTACTGTGTGTAGGTTTGTTAGGACGTCAGTTAGGGATCCTGCTCTTCTGCTCTGTAGCCTGAAGGGAATTTAGAAATTTCTTTTCCCCAGATTCCTTCTCCATCCACCAAATCTGAGTCTGTCATGGACATGCGATATACACTTAGTGATCAGATTTTTCTCTTTAGAATTATAAGCCTTGAAGAAAATAAAAATCCCAATACTTTCCTGGAATGCATTTATTTCACCAGAAGTGTCCCCCAACGCCCCCATTCCTTTTATCAAGACCCATTAAAGAACTGTTTATTCCTATATGTCTTTAATAATTGAATAATGTCTTTACTCAGCCTTATTTAGATCCTATGAGTTTTCCTGTATCACTGCAACAGCAGCCTTTGTTTTTTATCATCAAAACTGGGTTCCTTTCCTTATTATCAAGGAACTCTGATATATACATATTCTAGGAATAGCCCAAATAGGCATTTACATTTTTTAGAGCAATGAAAACTTTAGAAAAAGGCATATCTAAATTATTAATGAAGGAAGTAACATTTACTTATGAATAATCACACTGCTCCTTTCTATTGTCTGCTAATAAGATTGATGAAAGTTTACCCGAGTTAGTTATATGAATTAGATTCAATGTTGGGAAGAAAGAAGGTTCCAGGTTGGGGGATTAGAGAGGAAAACAGGGGACAAATATGATTCAAAAATATTATAAACATATATGAGATTGTCAGAGAATAAAAAACATATTTTTTAAATAAATAAGATTCAGACCTAGTAATCTAAATTTTGCAAAAAAAATAAAAAGCATTGCCATTGCTATCAGAAACGGTAAGGGAATCTTCTAAAGTACAAGAGAATTTATCTTCACAATTAGTGGATTCACTATTAGTGAGACCTTGATCTTGAGAATTAATGTCTGGTAATGCCACAGGTGAATTATGATGGTTCCATTTCTCACCAGCGACAAATGAATATCCCACTATAAGCCTATTAAAAATATTCAGTAAGCTAAGAGTATAGGTTAATAAAATACCCAATAAATAAATTAAGATATTGACCATAAATTACTGTTTTGTCAACATCAAATTTGTTAACCACAGTATAGGAGAGACAATTTGTAGATAGAATGAACACTGTGGCTTAATTAATAGTAGAGACGAGAATGAAGGGCATCCATGAATGAAGGAAGTCCCCTCAGTGAGCTAAAGCTTGTTCTGTTACAAAGAGTAGTATATTAATTAGTTTGAGTTAAGTTACGGTGTTGTATCAAAACTGCAAACTTTTGTGGCCTAAAACCACAGAGGTTTATTTTTCCTACAAATCATGTGTCCATCACCAGTTAGTAAATGTTGTTCTCACCTCTGGTCCCAGAATAACAGAGCAACCTTGTGGGGTATTGCCAGTTATCATAAGAGAGGGGAAACAGAATCCCTGGAAAGGCTGACTCCGTTAACTAACTATGCAATTTGGAAGTGACACACATCACTTCTACTTAGTTATGGTTAACAAGAACTAGTCTCCAGCTGTAGTCAGTACAGGGAGAGCAGAGTGTACAATCTTACCATGAGCGGAAGGCAGGCCAAAATATTTCATAAATAGATGAATAATTAGGGCTTAATTAGAAAGAAAATGGCAGATGATTTAATGGAAATGACTTAAAATTCCTGGTTGGAATCTAAGTGCTTCTAAATGGTAACTCCTGGCAGTACGGAACTTGGCTTAGAATTGCTACTAAGAGGTAGCTATCAGGTTTTGCTCACAAATGTTTTTCTTTTCTGTGTTATTCACGTCTCCCTCTTCTACTCCAAATATCTTAGCACCTTTCAATTTGGAACACTAAAAATAAAACCCAGTCACCTTAGCTGGCATTTGGGAGAGTTAAAGGGTTTAAAATTTTCTCATAATAAACTGATCTTAAATGTGTTCTGTCTTTAAGTTTCTGGTCCTGTAGGTGGCATTTAT